CCCTTGAATGAAATGGTACATGAGACCACTTCCTGAACATAACTCCAGCAGCACAGACACTAAGATCAACAATTAATAAATGGGACCTCCTGAAACTGAGAAGCTTCTGTAAGTCAAAGGGCATAGTCAGCAAGGCAAAAAGGCAACCCACAGATTGGGAAAAGATATTCACTAATTCCACATCTTACAGAGGGCTGATAAAAAAGAACTCAAGAACCAAGTCTCAAAAATACCCAAGGGTCCAATCAAAAAGTAGGGTACAGAACTAAATAGAGAAGTCTCAGTAGAGGAGTCTAAAATGGCTGAGAGACACTTAAGAAACTGCTCAACATCCCTAGCCAGCTGGGAAATGCAAATCAAGACAACTCTGAGATACCATTAGTCAGAATGGCTAAAATCAAAAATTCCAATCACAAGTTATGCTGGAGAGGATTTGGAGAAAGGGTTAGAGTGTCGACTTGTACAGCCACTTTGGAAATCAGTATGGAGATTCCTCAGAAAAAATGGCAATCAGTCTACCACAAGACCCAGAAATTTCACTCTTAAGCATATACCCAAAGGATGCCCATTCATACGACAAGGATGTCTGTTCCACTATGTTCATAGCAGCAATATTTGTAATAGCCAGAGCCTGGAAGCAACCTAGATGCCCCATGACTGAAGAGTGGATAGAGGATATGTGGTACGTTTACACAATGGAAAAAAAAAACAATGTAATATTGAAATTTGCAGGCAAATGGATGGCACTATAAGAAACCACCCTGAGTGAGGTAACCCAGTCACAAAAAGAGAAATATGGTATATACTCACTCATATATGGATTTTAGACATGAATCAGGGGAGTGTCAGCCTACAACCCCACTGACAGAGAGTCTGGGAAACAAAACCTCCATCCAGCGATTGATGGAAGCAGAGGCAGACACCCACAGCTAAACACTGAACTGAACTCCTGGAATCCAGTGACAGAAAGGGAGAATTGATGAGCAAAGCAGTTAAGAGTGGGCTGGTTTAACCCACAGAAACAGCTGACCTGAACAATGGGGAGCTCTTGGACCCCAGATTGATGGCTGGGTGGACAGCATGGGACTGACCCAGACCCCCCTGAATGTGTGTGTCAGTGCAGAGGCCTAGATAATGGGGCCCTGGGTAGTATTTATCCCTGGCATACAAATAGACTTTGAGTGCCCATCCCGCAATGAGGGAGGCTCTCTCAGCCTGGACTCTTGTGGGACAGCCTAGGCCCTGCCCTGGATGAAGTGACAGACTCTGGAGATCCACCATGGAGGGCCTCACCCTCCCTGGGTATCGGAGTGGAGATTGGCTTGAGGACTGGGGGACCTGGTGGACAGGACTCGGGAGGAAGAGAGGGGGAGGGAGTTGGGATTAATATGTGAAACAAGCTTGTTTCTAACTTAAATTTAAAAAAAGGAAGAGAAAAAAGAAAGTAGTTATACTTATGAAGGTGGTTAGGTTTTGTGAAGGTTATTGTTCCTAATTGAACTTGTGTTAAAATCAGTATTCTCACCTGTTATTTGCACCCAAAATCATTTTATAAAAGTTGCATGTAATCAACTTAGGAGTAATCTTAATATTTTCATGATTAAATTCAAATCATGACTATCTAGAAGTACAGATTACTTCTAGGAAAAAGGACCCTTGATTTTGTAAATTGTATAGGAAAATACTTCTAAATGGAGAAAAGACATCTGTAAGGATTTCATGCTGACAACACAGGAATGCAGATATAAGAATACAGTATATTTCTTCTCCTCCAGCACTATGAAGGGGGAAAGAAGTATTTGAGAATACTAGATATGGCTACAAGTATGAAGTAGTCAACTGAAATCTGTTCATTAATTGACAGAAACAGATGTCCATCCTATGATGTTTTTTCAACCAAATAAATACCCTTTATGTTAATATTATTGAGACCAGAAAGGCACTATAACCTGGTATCAATACCTACATAGTCTTAATGTTTTCTTTCTTAACATTGCTATGGGAGTTCATCCATCTGAGATGAGAGTAAAACAGAGCCAGGCTGACTACATGAGTGGAACAGAACTTAAGAAAAGATGTTCAGGGTGGGTGATACTTTGCATACTGATTCCTTTTTAATTCAGCATAGACAATTGGAAAACATAATAATTATAAATAATAGTCTTATACTGAATTTGTACCAAATAATAAAATTGTTACTGTTTTAGAGAAGTTTTTGGTGTTTTTTTTCTTCACTATAATATCTTTCACACAGAAAGAGCAAATTTTTCCATTTGTTTAAAATTTTTCACTTACTTGGGCATCAAGAACATATTTTTTACTTCATTACTCATTGTTTCAAACATTTATTGAGTTGCATGCTTATCTGTTTTATAGACAGGCAATTTAAGAACTATGTCAGGCCGGGCAGTGGTGGCGCACACCTTTAATCCCAGCACTCGGGAGGCAGAGGCAGGCGGATCTCTGTGAGTTCGAGGCCAGGCTGGACCGATAGCCTCCAAAACAACACAGAGAAACCCTGTCTCATAAAAACCAAAAAAAAAAAAAAAAGAAGAACTATGTCAGTATAAATAAAGTATTCCAGTGCATAATTTTATTCTTTAAAATAAATTTTCATCATCATAAACAAAAATTTCCACATGTACCACAGATTACTTCTTAAGAATGGACTTAAAATTTAAGACAAAATAATTTAAAAACTATTTGGGGGAAACACTATCAAAATAACCTCCAGAAAAGTATCTCCAATTTATGTTTTCTTTGTCTCCAATGTGAACACTGCATTTATTTTAAATGTTTGAAGACAAATAGGTTGATAAGGGTGTGTGTGTGTGTGTGTGTGTGTGTGTGTGTGTGTGTGTGTGTGTGTGGAGAGAGAGAGAGAGACATGCACAGAGAGTCAGAGAGATAACAGATGATTTGCTTGGAGAGACAATGGCTATCTTAATAGAAGAAGGTTGCAAGAGTTTTTATTGTCTTCAATCTATTGGTCCCCACCTGTATTATATGCAGCAGTCATTAAAACATTTCCTAGTCTACTAATGTAATCATTATTCTTTTTATTATTTTTGATTGTTTTCCTGAGCAGCTAAGTCTCATCAATTTCATATTCTTTTGGTCAATGCAATGAGGAAAGAGGTGGAGAATAGGATATTAAGTTATTTACCTAGAAATCTAAAGTCATTGTGCAAACATGTATGAATGCCTTCCAGGCAGTTAAATAGAATCAGGCTTTCTAGTTAGGAAATGATATGTGACAAAATGTAGGCGTAAGAAAAAAGTTGTCTGAAACTGCCATGATGGCAATTAGGAAGACACAATTTGGAAAGGGAATTTAGAATCAGATTGGGAAGATTCCATATGTCAAACTGAGATGCATGGGGTTTGTTCTTTAAAAAGCAGGAGCCATCACAATCTATATTCTCTCCAAATAACAGTCTTCCCAACCCTGAAACATCTTTCATATTCCCCATGATAGTGTCTCCAGCAAATTAACAGGGAGCCTCTTCCTCCTGTCCTCATAGATGTATTCACCTTTGATACTTCTCTTGCACTTTTGTGACAGTTGATAAGTGTAGTTTTTGTCAGATCCCCTTGCATTTTTAGAATTCTGCTTTCACATGTATAATATCACAGAAGCAGAGACTTTAGGGTATCCCTTTTTTTCACTCTCCTCCTACCGCACACAAAATGCCTGAATTATTTCAGTAACTAAAAGGATACTTCGTTAATTATTGTTCTTTGAATAATAGGGTATTTAATTACCAACACTGTGAGCTGATCTGTGTTTAGCAGAGATGCTTCTAGTTTCTAGTTCTCCTTCTCAACAAAGAATCTAAGTGCCTTTTTTTATGTCCCTGAAATTATGTGGCACCCGAACATCAAAACCCAGAAAGTTACAGCTAAGTCAGGGTCTATCAATTACATACTGACTTTTAAAATTCTGAAATTACTTGTTTTATTCCTATCACCCTAAAAGGGGAACTTTTTAAAAAGAATTTCTTTGTGGCATTCTGTCTTCTGAAATCCAGCATTACAATACAGCTAACTCATTGCAATACTTCCATTAAGCTGAAATGAAAGGAAAATCATATGTAAAGTTTTTGGAAAACAGCCCTTCTTATCTGATCCCTTAAGTTAGCTTCATCTGCCTGTCTTAAGTGACTGAACTGGTAAAGTATGGCATGGAATTGTCTTTGTATATGTACCAACTTAAATAGGAAAGAGAGCATGGCTACTTGTGATGCAAGATATATGAGTTATAGCAAGCACCCTTAGTCCATTAAATATGATCCAATAAACATCAGCTAGGGAGACTCTTGAATGTGTCCTGCCTGCCTGAGTGTGACTTTTTGGCATTTTTTGATTGGAGGTAAATCCCATACTAAATTCCAGGAAAGTAATACTGTGTATGAACCTCGCTCAAGAAGAAATTGAGAGAAGTATTCCTTTATAAAACTTAGTAAAGTTACTAAACAAAGACATATGTACAGCTATTTAGTCAGTCTTCACTGTGAAGGACTTTCTGCATAAGACTTGCCTTTGGCCATCTTTTTTTGTAATAAATGGAGAGTAGAAGAGTTGTAGGGGAAAGCTACCAGAAAACTCTGAGTCTCCTTCGTTCAACTCTCTTAGCATACCCAAGAAAACAATGTGTAAGAATGTTCTATAGACCCCTAGTTAAGTAAATAGTGAGATGGAGGAGCAGGTAGTACATTCTTCTCCAAGAGGTTTGCCTAAACAAATGGTTTTGCAGTAATCAGTGAAGGGTATATTCCCTGGACCCCAAGAAGATGAGATTATGTACATTCTTTTTACATGGAGAATTTAGGTAAGTGATCTCCAGCAATAATTTAATTAGTTCAATAACCTTGAAAATGATTCCCAGTCAAAAGTAGAGCATTAAATACCCACCAAACCCAGAGAACACTAGCCCAATTTCTCTATGACAGTGTGCAACCAACAATTCCACCCTAACCCATGTTCTGTCCAAATGCCAGGATATCCACCTTGGATGGAGACAACAGATTTGCAAGATGGATAAAGAGAGAAAGAAAGAAGCTGTAGAAACAAACCTGGAGAGAAAATTGACCTTCTGGCAACATACTGTTACCCTTGGGAAGGGCACATGAGTGTGTTGCAAATGGAGTTCCTTAGATGTCAAGGACCTTTAGAGAATCCCATCCATTTGGCAAGTACCTGTGGGTACAATACTGCAAACTCCTCCACTGATCTTAGGGAGCTCATGGGTTTCATACTTCTTTAACTTTTGCTATGTTTAATCCTGTAGTAACTCTTAGTTTTGCCTTGTTAGTTTGCCTGAGCTTACTGGGAACAAACGTCTTCATAGAAAAATTACATTTCTCTGATCTGTTACCGAAGCCAGTTCCTCCAGTTATTCCTGGCTGCCTTTGCAGTGATCCTGAATAAACAGGAGGAAATCACTAAGGTTAATGATTATTTCTTATTCAGTTCCAAAAAAAGATAAAATATATTCCAAAGAACTTAGGGACCAAGAAAATTGTTTCTTAAAAGAGGACATTAAAAACCTTATAGTGGGATTGGCATGTGAAGCAACCTTGTTTCTAATTTAAATTTAAAAATAAAAATTAAAAACATACTTATAGCAACACAGAAGGAAATAAAAGGATAGGACATGAAAGGTCAGACATTTCTCTGGCACTAGGATATATCAAAGTATCAGTAAAGGAATCTAAAACTCCTAGTTCCTCTTAAAGAAAAGCACATTTAGAAATTACCAGGAAGAACAAGGAAACTTAGTCTTAAGAGTTAAAGAGTTAGGGATTAGTCATCATTATTTTGAGAACTCATAAAGAATAAGGCTATAACTGCAATCTATGTAATGAAGGCAGTAATAAATGTGACCTACAGATTACTGGAAAACTGCTATACACCTGAAAATGATAACTTTAGGCATCACAATGTATTCAGCTAATTTCATATTGTCAAGCTTAACCACAGGGCTCAAATCTCTTACTTTGTAACCATGTTTGCTGCCAGCTAAGGCACAGTGTGAATAAGATATTTTTAGCTAGATATAAACAGTTGGCTTGCTCTCTAATGATATGAGGTAAAGGTCAATGACATCAAGGAAGTGGGAAATAAGAAGAAAAACTAAAATGTTAATGATTCTTGGAGAATGATTAAAGAGAAATGATTTGAAACTGCTCATGCATGAATGCATTAGAACTTGTATAAAGATGGCCTGAGCTAGTTGGGGCCATCAGTTTGAAAGACAACTGGTGGTCAAGACCCCTCATTCGTGGACTTCATACCTCCTTCCTGCAGCACAAAACACTGCTGGAGCTGAACTCTGGCAACCCTATTGAGAAGGTTTCAACCTATGGAATAGACAAGATTTGATAAGCATGTAGTTGGAAGTTGTCACAGTTCTACAGGAACTAGTAGTTTTAACATTAGTGCTTTAGTTCATGGAACTCTTTGGGGGTGAACACGGAACATTAACGCTCCCTGGCATACAATCAGAGAAGAACCAGCTTCACACAATAGGTTTGAATGGACAATCAGTTTCTGCTAGCACAATGAGCTACTGAACTCTGAAGTCTGAGTCCAGTTTACTCCTACATATAGACTTCACCTCAGTGTAGTCTGTAGAATAAAGGACCCTTGTATGCCTAGGATAGTTCATTAGCTCAGAATCTATTTACCTGAGTGCTGTCATTCTGGCCTTGTTCTGTTTGGCTTGCTTTGATGGCCAACCTTTTTAAATCCTTGATCATCATTCCTCATCATGTTTTCCAACTGAGTTGAGTTTCCATTTAACCCATAACATATCAATCTGGAATCCAACTATTCTTTCTGGGCTCAGAGAGCTGGTTGCCTTGGCTGGAGATTCACCATAACCTGCCAACATCTACCTGCCAGTCAACCCTCTTCTCAGCTCGTGCCCAGGATTTCTCAGAATGAGCTCAGCTCACCATATACATCCTACTTGCTCTTCTCAGACTTCCCTCATGCAGAGCTCCTGCCCAACTTTATCCCCAGTCCTCGCTCAGTTCTCCAGAGCTCCGTTGAGAGAGCCTTCTTTCATTTGATAGTTTTGCTACAGAGTAAACAAAACCCCAGTCATTGGGTCTGCCACAGGCCCAAGATCCTTCAGTCTCTGGTGATTTTGTTATGGTCATTCATGACAGTTCCTCAATTTAAGAGCATGCATTCATTAGTCCTCTGGTCTAAGTGTTTTGAGGTTATATGGAGACATCCTGCTAATATATGTTGTAATGGATTAACAAAGATTTCTCTTCCACTAATTGCTTGTGTATTCTTCATTTCTTTCTCACCCAACCCCCTCGTGATTGATAGTTATAGCCGATACAGAATATATTCTGCAATCCTAAACCAGTTTACTAGGACCAGGAAAGTAGGCCACTTTGAATTCATGATCACAGCAAAAGTGAAACCTTGTGGAGCAGGTGAATCAAGCTAGCCAGGTTTTAGTATGTGTTGACATATGGAAACTCAGATTCTTTATTTTTTTAACCTGTATTAGCTCCATCAGCAAGAGAAGTAGTATACGTCTAAAACTGAAGATGTTGAGTTAAGGATTGGAATCACCCAGAAATCTCATTTTCCATTCTTTTCAGGCCTTTGGGGTGGTTATATAGGAAAGTGCAGCTTGGAAAAAGCCAGAATTCAGGGATTCCTACCAGCAGAGGATGAGTCAACCAGGCCTGTGACCGCCTGCTGAGGGCTGGTATCATGTCTGTGGCATGTGCTAGCATTGTGGGCCATGCAGATGTCCATGATCTGTGCTACAGCCTGAACCATGTCAATATCCATAGGCCATGCTGCTACTGGAGGCCTTATAGATGTGAGTGGCCTGAGCTGCCACCTACAGCCATGGAAATATCTGGATCTTTGCTGCTGCCAGGGCCCATATTGCTGGAGTATTTGTCAATGTCTGTGGTCTGTGTTACATAGGCTGTGCTTCTGCTGGGGGCCATATCAATATGAGTGGCCTGTGATGCCACCAGGGATTATGATGACTTATGGGTCTTTGCTGCCACTGAAGGCCATGTCTGGGTCCTAGGCCCTGTTTCAGCCAGGGCCTGTGTTGATGTCCATGGTCCAAGTAAATACCAAAGGCCATGTAGAAGTCCAGCTCTGTGTGGCCACCTGTAGCCAAGTCCTTGGGTCATGCTGCTGCTGGAGGCCATACTGATGTGAGTGGCTTGCTACCACCTGAGACCATTGTAATATGGAGGTCCCATGCTCCTGAGAGCCCTGTCTGAATTTGTGGTATTATTGCAGGAGAGCACTGTGTTCATGGTCTGTGTTATAGCCAGAAACTCTGTTCAGGCCCATGACCCATGTTCCTGTTGACTCTGAATAGCAAAGAAGTTGCCTTTACAGTAATATCAATGACTACAGATGCACAGTTGAGAGGAGGGACATGGAAGGCTTCTGGGAGGACACCCTTACACACACACACACACACACACACACACACACAGAGTAACAGCCTACACAGAAAGCTCTGACTGAACAGAACTCCTAAAAATTGTGATGGAACTGGTGAAGAGTAGTTCTCCACAACTGATGGCTTCTGGTGGAGTAGCAGGAGCAAGAAAAACTCAGTTGATTTAAGGAGGAGGCCACTAAGAGTTTGACCATGCACCAGTGAGTATATAGATAACACAAGACTCATTTTATTATTGTTATTGCTATTTTTTACTTCTTCTTGTGAGGTAGGTCACAATTCAGGGGGTGGGGGGCAGATCTGTGAGATTCCATTTTCTCCATTATGTCCTAGCTCAGCTTCTTAATTTATTATGATGAGTAGTGTTTTAAAAAGCTTACATATCTATTATTCTCCCGTCATACCATGAATTTATTAAATTTTTGAAATTTAATTTTAATTCACTCTACAGGACTCTAGATAAAGTAGACAAATATTCATGGAATTAATTAATAATACTATGTTGAGTTTCTCTATGTGTTAGGGTTCATGAGAGCATCAGAATGAAGTATGGTTGGTCTCTCAACTTTTGCTTTCAGATTAAATTTAGTACAAGACAATGGAAGGTACCACTAATTGACATTGAACAAGTAAGTCACATTCTGTTTCAGAACCAATATCGCCTCTTTTGAAAAGCCAGTAAGAAAATATGTGATACAAATGTCACATCATTCATCATCATAAACAGCAAATCTTTATTAGTTCTGTATCTCCTTACATGTGATATGTTAAATTTATAGATGAACATTTTTTAAAATAGTCAGAAAAGAACAAATGAACTGTAAATTAGGACCAAGCAGCTTGACTGCAAATTTAAGTAATACTATGATCAGATAATGAAGCAGATAGTTTGGTGATACTTCAAATAAAACGTGTTAGCTATCATATGCCATAAAGCACAAGTTATAACAAAATCAGTCTGTGTCTCTTTAGCTAGGATTATCATAACAGAGAATCAGGGAAACTAAATCTTGAGTTTTCTTTTTTTTTGGTTAATTATGTGATTTGAAAATAATATTATAAAAAATAAGAGAAATATTATTCTCCACACTGTTATACAATCACCACTTCTCTTTATTTTTCCAAGTTTTCTAGAGTTTCTTATTCATTGATTTATTCATTTACCAAAGGCTTGTTGAATATGTTATATACATTACATATAAAATGTTAGAATTTTAAGATTTAAATTGATCTTCCAGACATCTCTTGGATAAGGTAGAAAATATGAACTGAATGATAATATGCTCATATTTATTCCTTTATTATTAACTCACACCTAAAGTATACATATCATTTATTTAATATCAACTTAAAAGGAAATAAACCTTTAAAGGAAATAATGCTCAATCATATGTATAAATATGCAAATGATGTGTCAGGTAATAGCCAGTGTTATGAATGATAAAACTAGAATTCAATGATACTCCCACTATTGTTTCATAAGCTCTAAGTTTGGGTCTACATAACAGATAATGGTGATGTTGTCGTCAACTAATGCCTTGAAAATAAAACTGATGATTTAACAGGTATTATGCTTAATGTTTGCTAATTTTACTTATATTCACCACAAGCTTTAGAATGATCTAATCAGCTTGTAGATGAGAAAGCAAATTCCCAAACCAGCATGAGCAAAACTAGGAATTTGGTCTAACTTTCCATTCATAAACTCTGTTGCTTTATCTCATTTCTTTTGTAAGTCTCTTAAATGAGTACCTACAGAAAATTCTCTATAATTTCTCAGTTTCCCTCACCCCTTACTTGTTATGAAGTGGTTACTATATCTACACCTGAACCTTCATGAACTTTACAATTAAAAACTGCAGGGTCTTAGCCCAACCATGGAAGGCTGAGCTGGGTCCAAGGAAGAGTAAGTGTGCTGCTCGACCATTTCCCAGCCTCCAGGATCTCGGAGACAATCAGAGGCAAGACTCAAGCACTTTGAAGGAGGGCACCTTCTGGACCTTTTCTGGGGCAACAGTAAAGCTCCCCTTTTAAAACAATTGGACCACTTGTATCACAAAGCCCTCCAGATATTCTGTATCTCGATGTCCCAAAATTAAATCATCCATATAAATACATATTATTGAATCATTTTACTTTGGCATAGGACTTAAGAGAATAGCAAGATACTGTTGACAGAAGGCTGGGCCATTAGCCATTCCCTATGGTAGCATAGCACTACCCATTCAAAACATTGATCAGGTTTGGAATAATTAAGTAAAGGAACAGAGAAGGCAAATTTATCACAATCCTCCTGATGTAGCAGTATAGAAAAAGAAGCAATCCTTAATATCAGTTACCATAAATTTGCATTCTGTGGGAATAGCAGGTATCCAGGGACAACACATTAAGGGGGGTGCCCACTAGTTCCATCCTCTCATTTATCTTATGCAAATCTTGGAGCATGTACCTTAAATTATAAACACCGGGATGTTCCATGGGCTCATAGAAGGGCAGATATGTACCAGTGTTAATTGTTCATCCACTAGCTGATGGAGTGCTAGCAATTTCAGATTAGTCAGAAGCCACTGCTCCACCCATACGGGTTTCCTGGTGCCCATCAGATAGGTGGCACTCAGGGGCAGTGGCCCTTATGACTGGGGGGACACCTAGATAGACCTCTCAGGCTCCCCCGCCCCCGTAGTTGTAAAGGTTGAAAAAATCCTTCTCTGAGGCCCCCTTTGGGTCCTTTCCCTCCCTTTGTACCTCTTCATCTTCCTCATAAAAAGCCCCATGATCCATGGTCACAACAGCATCCATTTGGCCTAGCATGTCTTGTCCCAGCAAATTGGCAGTAAGGCCATTGACCACTAAGGGGTGTATCTTTCCTTGGTCCCCATCTGGACTGGTCCAGTGCATTAAGGTCATTGTTTCTCTTGATTGGGAGTTATCTCCCACCCCCAAAACCGAGGGCCCAGGTGCAAGTTCCCAGGTGAAAGGTACTTCCTCCTCCCAAGTACTGTCCTGTCTGCCCGGTGTCTACCAAACAGTGAAACTCCTTACCACATATAAAAACAGTCATTTTGAAACAAAGTCCTTCAATCAAAGGGACAGTCCAGTAGACTTGTTTTGTCAGGGTATGAGACCTTCCAATCCTACTTTTAGAGAGGCTTCCTTCCTTTTTTAATGGTGCTAGAGGTTGCTCTTCCTCTAGTTTAAAGGCTTCCCCTCCAGGTCGAATTTTGATCTACAGTCCTTCTTCCAATGCTATCACTTCCTACACTGAGGACATGGAGTAAAGGGAGGCTTAGCCCCTCCTGGCCTATTAGTGGGAGGGGGGTGTTAAGGACAGTCTCTTAAAATGTCCCTCCTGCCCACATCTAAAGCAGGTCCCTTCCCCCAGCGGCCTCAAGGACCCTTGACCCTTTGTTGCTAGGGCCTGGGTGATGGCCTCTGTCATGGCAGTCATCTGTGCCTGTAAGGCCAGGGCCAGAGACTGGGATTGGTGTTGCTGGGTACCTACATCTTGGGAGGCTATCAACCATCTCTTCAGGGAACTGTCTTTTAATCCCATGCAGACCATTCTATGGTCTCCATTCATCCCTTCCCATACCAACTGTCTGATAAATTGTTCTCTGAGGTTTCCCGGCGGCAGCTTGCACTGAATGATCTGTTGGACCTGGTCTATAAACTCCTGCAAAGGCTCACCAGGCTTCTGCCTCACCCCAGTCATGGAGGACTCAGTAGGCCCATTTTCCAGTTTAACCAGCCTGCTTCACATGATCCCAATATAGCCCAGGGGTCCCTGCTTGCTGAACCTCAGTGGAATAAGTGTCTCCCATTCCCAACAGC